TTTACATTTGTTTAACTGACATTGCAACTAAAAGTCAACCGAATATCAACGTTGAAACAACGTTGAGAGTCAACTAGGAAGAGTAGTGTATTTCATGTAAATTAAAAGACTACAAAAAATTCTTTTAAGGGAGTATATATAAGAAATAAAAAGAATGTTAACATTATATATATACATTTTTTGTTAACATATAACTATATATCTGAGTTATCATTTATGCCCCGACCACCACCATTTGATCTATCGGGTGCATTTTTCAATATATTCATGATATTTTTTCTGACTTCAGAGACTGTAGCAGTTGCTTTACTTAAAATGACGCTCTCTATAAAAAAAAGTATTGCCTGAGTAATTTGCAACAAATACAGCAAGAAATTCAAAATAAAATAGCACCACGGCATGAAAATGTGTTTTTCAATAATAGATAACATATTCATGACTTACCAACAACAACCTCACAAATGTTTGTGCCTTCAAATTTCTTTTTACCCTTGCTACCAGCCATGTTAAACTTTGATTGTAAACCATTAGTCATCAACCTACAATAAAACATTATTATTTTTATAGATACATTGAATATTGATACATAAGGTTAGCTAGCTCAATGGTGCCGTGTAATCTGCGGAATTCCTAATGGTTTTAAAATTCCTAAAATTCAATGACTTTTTTGTTTGTTTGTATTATTTGGTAAACTTAAATAAAAATTTTCATATTTTAGAATATATATATATATATATATATATATATATATATATATTATATATATATATATATATATATATATATATAAATTTGAAATTCCTAATAGTAAATTAAACCCATATTTTTAAAACTACTTTGTTCAGCAACTAACCTTTGCATCACATTTTTTGTATTTATTTTTATGGTTTCACCGCCAATTTTAGAAAGTTTGTTAACCTAGAGGTTTAAGAAAAAAATTCACATTTTTTTCATCTATTTAAAAAGTAAACATAAAAAATTATGAATAGATTAACAAAATGTTAAAAAAATAAAACCAAATACAAAATAAAATGGTTTAAAGAAACCTACCACTTCAGATTTCAACTTAGAATCGCTTAAACTACAATCATAATCACTAAACAACTTTAGCGAATTCATGCATGGAATTTCCTGACTATTTGTCGCAATATTATTTTCATTACTAGAGAGAGCTTTCACTAACATCTCTTTCATTTCTGCTAGTGCACATATAACTTTCTTCTGAAATTCTAATTATAAAGATACAAAAAGAAGTTAAAACACTCTAACAGCAATCAATCTTTAAAAACATTGAAACACACCATTTCAAAATGTTTAATAAATTATTGAATTTTGACATATGTTATTGTTTTATTGTCTCAAATCTAATCTCATATATAATGTCTCAAAGATATTTACTTGCTTATATTACTAATAGAATTAAGTGAATGTCAAAATAAATAACAAATAATATACATACTTTCCTCAGTAAGTGGAAATATTCCACTTAATGATGCATCTTTTCTAGTTGTCTTTCTTATAAGAGAATTTAATATAGGTGTCTCTGGCAATAGAAGTTCTTTTCTCTTTTGAGGAAAAGCACATGCACCGCCTTGGCTTTGCACTATATTAAAACCATCTTTTTCCTCACAAAATCCTTGCGATTGTTGATCTAAATGTTTTTTTAGATACAAGCAATAAAAACACTGAATTATATAAAAGAATGCTCTGATTCTTTTATTTATAACTTTTTAACCAATACCTTGAGCAACAGCATGTGGAGTATGCATAGGAATTGTTATTTTTTTCTTTTTTACTTGAGTTACAGGGATAGACACTTTCTTACTGTTCTGTTGTTTATCTTTAACTTGGTTTTGCTTCCTCTTCAATGAAAATGGTAGTGGCTCCTCTAATAAATAAAAATAAAACTGTTAATACTGAAACTAAATATTTTTTTTTAACTTTATTATAATTAAATACACTTTAATTAATCAAAAAATATAGCAAACATCTTGCATCAACTTAAGAAAATAATTACCATATTCTGAATCTGATTCTACCTGAGTATCACTGGTAGTTGCAAATTCAAAGTTGTCACACAAATCACGATCTAAAATAACCAATTA